CTGCAAGGCCTGTGGAGCCTGCGTTGCATTCACACACACAGTGCTGTTCCCCTCTCCTCTTCTCCCCCTTCTTCTTGTCTCATGAAAACCAACCAACCAAGCAACCAAGCAACCAAGCAAGTCCGCCCTTCAACAAGCAAACGCAAAAAAGCAAACAGCAGTTGCCGCAGCAGTGGGCGATTATTTGTGGCATCTTCCACAAATCGCCCAAACACGAACCAACAAGACCAACACACACAAACAAGCAACAGGCGAAACGCGAAACGCGAATCAAGGTGCGTGTGTTTGAGTGGGTGGTGGGTTGCGTTGTTTGTGTGCGCGGCTGGCGCAGGGTTGGTGGAGAGGAGGGAGAGGGTGCGCGTTGTGACGGGCACTCATTGGCGGTCCTGTTGTGGGTGGTCTCGTTTGGTTCCATGGATTGTGTGGGGTGTGGTGGGTGATGGTGTGATGGTGCACAGGTGCAAGCAGAGAACACGCACAGCAGCGCCCACACCATGGATGTGTGCAGCGCCAAAGGCATGCAAGGCGTTGCCCACGGTCGGTGAGGCTGACATATGTGCTGCACAGGCCCATGGCACGCTGGCACCGTGAGTTTGGGTGAGTTCTGTCGGTTGGTTTGACTGCTGTGTTGGTGCGTGTGTTTGTGTGTGAAGGAGAGAGAGGTGGGACGTGGCTGTGGTGGGTGTTGTGATCTCACACGCACTCCTGCTGCCGTGGATGCATTTGGCTCACGCACGCACAGAGAAGGATGATGGGCTGCATCGACCCACACACACGTTTGTGAACACACACACGCGTGAACACGCATGCTGACAGGCAGTCTGATGCCACCTCACGGTGCGTTGCACTTGCATGTGCGTGACTGTGCATGTCGTTCATGCTGTTTCTGCTTGTGATTCACACTGTGTATGTGTGTGATGGCTGCTTGCTTCCCTCTGTCTCACACGCCTGTGTGTGTATTGATGGTGACACACACGCAGACACACACACAGTGGGTGTGCGTGCAGACACACATGCCCACACAGACAAGACAGGCAGGCACAGCAGGGCATTCTCTTCCTTCTCTCCTTTGCCGCCATCACCGCTGGTGCATGAATGGACCAGTGGATGCAAGGGGTGTTGGATGATGCTGGATGGCTGGCTGATGTCCTTCCCTTGGTGCGTGTGTGTGTGTGTGTTGCACCCCTGCTGCTCGCTCTTGTTTCCCCCCTTGTTTGTGTCTGCTTGTGTTTGTTGTGGGTTGCTGCTTCGCTGTGTGCTTGTGTGTGTGTGTGTGTGTGTGTTCACCACAACCACGTCGTGTGCGCCCATCACCATCGTCTGTGCTCACGCACCTTCCATCTCTCCCTTTCTTCTTCTTCTTCTGCTCCCTTCCCTCTTCCCTCTTTGTCATCCCCTAACATGCACACGCATGCGCACATACGGACTCTTGTGCAGGGGGGAGTGCAGGCTGTTTGTTGGAACACATGGCAAGGCACGCACAACCAAGCAAGGACACGAGCAAGAAAGGGCACAGGACAAGCAAGCAAGACGTGGGGCTGCCATAGACCACGCACCTCGTTGGAGAAGGAGGAGAGCGTGAGCGGGTGGCGTTGCATTGTGTTGTTGTGTTGTTGTGTTGTGTTGTTGTTGACAGCGTGCACGTCTCTCCCCTTGTGTCCTTCTGCCTTCCTCCCTCCTTTTCCTTTCCCTTTCTTTCTCTGTTCTCTCTTGCCACAGCATACACACTGCTGCTGCTGCTGTTGTTGTTGTTGGCTGAAGGTGATGATGGCGGCTGATGGGGGGAGTGAAGCGGCGTGGCGTAGCATGGAGCTGTCGCTTGTTGTGTGTGTGTGTGTGTTGATTGCAGTTGATATGGTGATGCTTTCTCGCCTGTTCTTGCCACGTGTGTGTGTGCGTGTATGTGCTTGCTTGCTGTCGTGTTGCTGACATGTAGTGGAAACATACAATGCAACACGCATGCGCAGCTGTGTGTATCGTGTGATGCTGGTGGTGGTGGTGTGGATGGGTGTTGATGGTTGCAGTGAAGTAAACACAGTGTGTGTTGTTGTGTTGTGGATTGGGTTGGTGGTGAGCTGGGCATGTGGCTGTGGGGTGGGTGTTGCATGCAGGTGAGGACAGCAGCAGCAGCTGTGTGCGTGGGGATGGGGGAAAGGATGAAGCGAGTGATGATGGCAGCGACTGGTGGTGGATGTGAACAGGGCTGATGGTGAAGAAGGCGGCAGTGTGGGCTTGATGGGTTTATGATGTGTTGCAACACATGCAGCATGAAACATGAACGAGGCAGGGAAGGGAAGTGAAGGGGAAGGAGTGGCGGCACAAAGTAGTGAACAGGGACAAGGGAAGGTACGCAAGCACATGGAAACAACAGCAGCAGTGGCAAGAATTGAAACAAGACAGGAGGGGTGGTGGAACGCAGGTGAAATAGACAAACAAGGCTTGTGGTGACAAGGTGGTGAAAGAAAGGGACGAAGGGAAGCACAAATGCACACAGTGGGTTGGTTGTGGCGCTGTGCTGTGATGAAGTGAAGGACGAGTGATGTTGTGTGCAGAGGTGCTGTGTGGTGGTGAGTGGATGGAAGAGAGGGAGAGACGAGGATCTGGGTGAAGCATGTGGCCACAAGTGCAAAGCAACAATGCAACACATGGAAAGTGGAAAAGCGAAGGGAAGAGAGAAGGAAGCAAGTGTGAGTGAAGGGTGAGACAAAGGGACGAAGCGGCACATGCATGGATGTGTTGTGTTCTGTTGTATTGTGATTGTGGAGGTGGAGCAAAGGAAGCAGAAGCACAAACATTGCAAGCAGTAGCAAGCGTGCACGTAGAGAGAAGGTAAAGTGGGAAGAGGAGAAGGCGATTGCAGCGAGCTCCTTACGCACCTGACCATATCGCTGCTGGAGGCGAGAGAGGAAGCGCAGGTGATGTTGGAGAGTGAATCCAAGAGCAAGAGGGAGCGAGGCGATGCTGCTGAGTGAAGTGGCGTGGAGTGGAGTGGAGTAAAGGGGGTAACAGAGCGGTGTCTCGGTGTGTGAGTGATGGTGTGGATTGATAAAGGGTCGATTGCACATGCGTGCAGGCATGGTGGGTGATGCTGTGACACAGTGGGGAGTGAGTGGAGGAGTGTTGTGAAGTGAACAGGGTGGAAGCAAGGGCAGTTGCGGGTACTTGCAAGCAACACGCACAGAGCAAGCAAGCGTACGCACGAGGTGTCTGCAGCGAGTAGACGGATTGTAGTGGAGTGGATTCAATGCAAGTAGGAGAGGTCGTGAGTGCTTGCGCGTGGGTAGAGGGATGTCGTGGAGTGAATCCCATGCAAGTAGGGGAAGTTGTGAGTGCTTGCGAGTGAGTAGACGGATGTAGTGGAGTGAATCCAATGCAAGTAGGAGAAGTTGTGAGTGATTGCAGCCGGATTGTAGTAGAGTGAATCCAAAGCAAGCAGGATGAGTTGTGAGTGCTTGCGAGTGAGTAGACGGATGTGGTGGAGTGAATCCAGTCGAAGCAGGAGAAGTTGTGAGTGTCTGCAGTGAGCAGAGGGATGTCGTGGAGTGAATCCAATGCAAGCAGGGTATGTTGGAAGTGTCTGCGAGTAACACAACAGTGAGTAGACGGATGTAGTGGAGTGAATTCAATGCATGTAGGAGAAGTTGTGAGTGTTTGCGAGTGAGTAGAGGGATGTTGTAGAGTGAATCCAATGCAAGCAGAAGAAGTTGTGAGTGTTTGCAAGCAACACAACAGTGAGTAGAGGGATGTAGTGGAGTGAATCCAATGCAAGCACGAGATGGTGTGAGTGTTTGCAGACGGATGTAGTGGAGTGAATCCAATGCGAGCAGAAGAAGTTGTGAGTGTTTGCAAGCAACACAACAGTGAGCAGAGGAATTGTTGTGGAGTGAATCCAATGCAAGTAGGGGAAGTTGTGAGTGCTTGCGAGCAACACAGCGGCACTGCACAATCGCATGCCAGTGTGTTTGCAGTGAGCAGAGGATTGCTACTCATCCATTCCGCTTCAATCAGAAACACGTTCCCGTGCCTACAGGCAGTACCTATACACAAACGCACACACACACACGTGCACACGTGTCCCTTGCGCTGCTCCTCGTCGTTCTCTGCGTGCTTGCTTGTCTCTTGTGCAATCACATGGAAACGAATCCATCCTCGCTGCTCTACTCCGCAGTTCCTCTGCTTTGCTCCTTCTTACTTCAGCGCAGCGTGCCTGCAGGCAAGTAGAAGTGCGCACAGTGCAGTGTGCTCGTGCGCACGTGTGCCTGCAAGCCAGCCACGTGGTCTTGTGCGTGTTGCTGCAGCTCATGGCATGGTGCAGTGACGTTTGCTCACTTGATCATCGGAGTAGGGAGACTGGGGCGGTGAAGTCAAAAAGGGGGTGCAGAAAAAGTGCGAGCATGTGATGAAAAAAGCCCCCAATACTGTCATGAGTAGTGTCTGAACACTGCGTCGCGATGCACCAGTGCAGCTGCAGCTGATGTGCAGCGTACGCAAGCGAAGCAAATTGCATGCATGCAAGCATTGGTTGGTCACGAGCCAGGGGAATCTGGGGTGTGAGCAATGTGAAGAATCTTGATGCAGTGAAGCTGTGCGCACCAGCTAGATCCAGTCACAAATCTAGATCTAGCAGATTCACTGAATCTAGATTGCGGTGCTTGCAGGCAAAGTGCACGAGGGCAAAGCAGTGATTCAAACAGCTGCCGCTCGATGGATTGGCATACATGAGAGGAAGGATGCAAATGAGCAAGACAAATAAGGAAAAGAGAAGGCAAAGGCAAAGAGCCGCTGAGTAGAGGCGCAAGCAAGAGAGCTAAGCGATTGTCGCTGAGCAGGATTGCTTGCGGGCACGAAAAGCCGCGTCTGCGCCCTTGCAGCTACAACTTCTCTTTCTTCTCGGGTCTTTGTTCTGCTGACCTCTCTCTTCATTTGTATGTGTGTGTGTGCGTGTGAGTGCAGGCAAAGCGAAGCGACACAAGACTGTGTTGTGAGCACTGCTTGCACGAGCACACATGCGTGCACAGCACATGCAATGAGAACAGCACGGGCGTGTGTGTGTGTGTGGATGCTTGTGTGTGGGTGATGCGTGAGCATTGTGTGGGTGTGATGAGGCACATGTGGGGAGGCGAGCAAGCGATTGCTCGTGTCTCTGTGTGTGTTCTTGTGATCACTCGCATGAGTAAACGCATCTCTGCGACACAGAAGCAAAAGCAACACACGACATGCGCTTGTGGCGAGCAACGACTGTGTTTGCGGAAAGAGGGCGAGCTGATTGTTCAGCTTCCTCTGAGTGTGACAGTGTGAAGCGCTGGACATTTCTCTCACACGAACACGCATTGTTGGCTCTTGATTGTTCTTTTCTCCTCACGTTCACATACTCTGTGTGATGTGACGCAGCGAGACGCAGGAAGCAAGCCTGCACGCATGGTGCATTGAGACCCGGGCACAGCGATGTGCCTGGCGCGTAGATGACGTGTGTGCGCATGAAATGGCTTGCATTTTCCTTGTGTGTGTAGCTGTGCGTTGGGAGAAGGGCGATGTGCCAACATGTGTTTGTGTGTGGGGGAATGGCTGGCAGTTGCTTTGCTGCACA